CACTGACACCTGGGGACAAAGACATGTCACCTGAGTGGGATTTCTGTTGTTGTAGCAGCTGACTTCCGTCCTTTAAATGAGGTAATAAGCCATAAGGAGAAATCACTGGGTAAGACTAGATACAGTAATCCTTGGGTTTTACAAAAAGCAGTTAACGTTAAAACTACAGCTTGCTTTCTCCCAGTTAGCCAGCCCGTGTTAAAAAGACTTTTCTGCAGAGTAGGCCAGGCCTTGAGGAAGAAATAGCTTATCTTGCTGGCACTGCAATGGGGAAAGAGGAATGTGATGTTAATTAGGAGCTGGAACATGGGAGGACAGAAGGCCTGAAAGCCTAGACCTTAGGTTTGAAGACGACACTGTTACCTCTTGCCATTTGAAGCCGCTGATTTAATAGACAGGTATTCAAGGGGGAAAAAAAAAGAGAGATATTTTTGAACACCTATCAAGACGGGGGGGGAAAAAAAAAGAATCAGGGGTTCCCAAATAGTGTTTACATATTGCAGAATATATGGTCCCCCAGATAACTTGACCTCTGGCTAAATTAATGTTGGATTTTTGCAGAAAGCCAGCAGTTACATGATTTAATAAGCTCCCCATGGGAGAGGCAGATTAAGATGGTCTAGCACTACACTCTCAAAAGCATCGTATTTGCCATTAGTACACACGCATGGAATGGAAACTGGAAAGCAATGGATGTATTGATTACCATGATAATCTTCTTGTCAGAAGATTACAGTCTTCTGAGGAAAATGAAGGGTCGCAGGCCATTGATACAGCCTGCTAGGATTAATTTTGAGATTTTTGAACATTGTGCTGGGAGCTGTGTAATGACACACTTGCATGCTCGATGTTAAATGAAGAAAAAACCAAGACAACCTCCCCCCACCCCCCTGCACTTTAAAGCAAAGTGAGTTTCCCCCTTCCTTTTAAGGGAATGTATTTTAGGCTGAAAAAGAAATTACAGAGGGAAACTAAAGCTTCCCAGGGTCTGGTGGTTATATTGACTGATTATCTTTGAAAATTCTAAAACTCTACAACTTCGTTCACAGGCAAATGAGTTCCTGCAAGATTTGCTGTTGAGGTAGTGGGTGATGTACTGGCTGCAGCAGCCTTGTCCTGCCTGCACCGGAGCCAGGCTGCCACCCAGGGTCACTTCAGCCTTCCTGGGGGCAGAGGGGATCAAGTCAGAGAGGGAGAGGCACTCCCAGGGGTCCTGGGAGCTACCCTGCATGCTCATCACGACATGAAACTGTCTGCACCAAACGCAAAAAGTGGGAAAGCATAGCAATCTAAAGACAACTTTATGTTCAATATGGTCACCTCTTAGAATGATGAATGTGAAGATGGTGCTGGGACTATCCTTAGGGTGACCCAATAGAGCAACAAGAGAGGCACCTTGGTACTATCAGTTTATATAATACTTTCCGTACATCTGATTTAATGCCTCAAATAATAAAGTGGCTGCAGCTCTTAGAAGACATTAGCAATGTTCATTTATGTTGCTTTTTTCGTTTGAGCAGCACTTAAAGCCAGTTTTAGTGCACTGCTTACATTCTCAGATAACCCTAGGGCTATCAGCGTCTACAGATCAAATACGGAAAAATGAGCCACCTTTCCTGTCAACTGATACATAGTAATTTTAAAAGTATTTATCCTTTGTGTGAGCCGTAAAAAAGAAAAGTCAAAGTTAAAAGAAGTCAAGCACTGCCAAAGACCTCACTGAAGAAACAGGGGACTCGGTTATTCAGTGCGACACCGAGCCCAATGAAAGAATTTGAACAGCCCAGCTGTGCAACACTTGGTCTGTGCAGGGTAGGGAATAGCTGGTTATATCGCTTTTGTACAACAGATGTGTGACACTTGGTGGGCTGAGACTGACTCATTAAGGGTATGAGGATGACAATTTAAAAAAAGAAAGTAATCAAAAGAGAAGTTAGTGAGTTCTTAGGCTTTAATCCTTTTTCAAATGTGCTACTTGACTTAACTTCATGGGTGACATTTTCATGTCAGTGCTGTAAAACAATTCTGTAAAATCCATGAGTTTGGGACTGAGAAAGGAGTATTTTCAGGTCCTACAGCTTACCACTGCTGCAGTGACTGAGAGACTTGCTGTGTATTAAATCATTAAATAACAAGTTCGTATAACAGCAAATGAAACCAAGCTTAAATATTTTCCTTTCAACTTTTTTTTTATATCACCTTGACTATAGGGCTCATGAAGTCTAAAACAAATGACAATGGCTGACATTATATGATTGCTTTACTGTAAAATGTGTTTTCAAATATATTGTTGGAAGCTGTGATATCCGCACAATATATTCATGCTGGATCACAGCTTGTAGATTCATGAGTACTTCCCAAGTAAACATTTGGTGTCCACACCTCACGTAATGCAGCTATTGTTTTAACTTCCTTCAACAGGATTTCACATACACATTACAAATAAATTATTCTGTCTTAGAAAGAGAATGGGATGAGTATTACTGTTTTTCAACTGGTAGCATACTTTCCAATATATTCGGAAGGATAAGAACAAAGCCTAATTGAAAACTTTCCTTTTTTCGATGGTGGGAGAGGAGCGAGTACAGTTATCTCACCCAGACATGGAACTGACAGTCTCACTAACCTTAATCTGTCTGGATTTGCTGTTACATTGCTTTACCGCACATATTTCAGATGTTACAAGGCAGAACAGAATATGAAGGGAACGTATACCCTACCGGCTACAAAGGACAAAAGGCACAAACAAGCAGAAGAGATAAGGCCATGACAAGTGTAGTGAAGAATACTGGTTTTTGTTTTGCAAATTTCCTTCTTTTCCATCATGAACAGATTTTGTGAAGAAATGTAAGAGTCAGATTTTAAATAAATGTGTTGCAGAAAAAGAGGAGTTGTGCAGAGGCTGTTTATGAAATGTCTGCTTTCACGCCACGTGCTTTTACTAGCTAGATATCAAAATACTGGAGTCAAAAATTGCCTGAGTACCTCATTGTTTATTCTTTCTCAGACTGGCACAGGCAAGCAGATGAAAAGTCTTTCCAAGTGGAAGCAGAGAGGATACTAAATGACAGTCAGTCTTGGCACAGACTTTGTGTATAATCAGCAAGGTTTCTAGAGCTGCTTGATTCTTACAAAGCAATAACACACAGTCTGTTTTCCTCTTTCAGCTTCTAATTATGACAGCCATTGACCTTCAAGTTTGTTCAAGTTCCTTGCAAGTGCCAACAAATTAATTAAAACTTCACAGGAATGTGACAGTCTCAGGAAAAAATAGAGTAGTACGGCTGAAACTTCACTTGCTATTTTAGAGAAACTACATTTTAGAGAAAACAGAAAGCCTTTTGTCTTCGCTTCTTTCCTAAGAACTCAATAAGTGCTTTTAAGGTACAGATTTGATACCAATACTGTGATCTTTGATTTACTTTTTAAAAGTCTTGCTTTTATGCAAAGAGTATATTACTATTGCTGTGAAAAGAATTAATACCTGAATCACAATCTCTTCCACTTAGACCGTCTGATTGAGTTAAGGATTGTTCAGCTTGCTAGAGAAATTATACATCCCATGACCACAGTCCTCCAAGGACGCACATGTATACATGAGGAAGATGGTGAAGGAAGATCATAACAGCAGTCACAGCACCCCAGTCCAGCCTGACGTCTACTGATAAACTCATTACCTCTTGGTATACATTAATCCCATTAAGTGTGGGCAGCAGTATCAAAGATATAAGAAACATTAACAACAAAGGAATTCATTATTACCAAGAAGTAGCAAACAGTAAGACACATATAAATTGAAGTTCCTTTGAACATCTGTAACTGTAACTTAGAAAGAAGAATTAAGGACTGCTACTACCACAGAAAGTTATTTTTAGAGTTTCGCAATGAGGTAGTTTGTTCTTTTAAAAAGAAATTCTGGAAAAGAGTACAGGGACCTATGTTTAGAAATCCCCTGCATGGTCCAGCCTTGACCACTGGGGTTATGCAGAGATGTGAGGAGTCTTACTGAATGTTTTGGTGAAAGTTTCAGCTTCATCCTTTGGTTTCAAATATAAATGTCTGAGAGCCCCAAGAACATCACCAGCAAAATCAGAGAAGGCCAGAACTCACAGTACAGGTATTCCTATGTTTTTTAGAAACGTAGCACAATACACTGAAAGAGCAAAGCCTTCTTCATAAATCTGAAAAGCCCCCTGTGTGCCACCTTTCCATGGATTGAATCCACTTTAGTTCCCAGAGATAGAAGGCCACTGCAATTTTTCAGTGCAGCTACGGAAGTAATTTCCTGTCCCCGCACTCTTCGTGTTTTCATTTCTTCTACGCAAAACAAACTGTCAAAGCAAGGTGTGCTATGGCTCTGCTCTTCAGAGAGGTCTGAATGCAGAACATCTTTGATCACAGGTGGAGAGTTCCAGCAGGCTGTTTGCTCACCCCCTGCTCTGGAGTGATGCTCGAATACTGGCTTCTCTTTGGTGTTCTCTCCCTCCCCTCATCCCCCAAATGAGAAATTGCATTTGGCTAGTACTGGTACTCTGTCATGACAGCACCTACAGAATGCAGACCACAGGGTGAGCAAAAACAGTCTTTTTAAAAGAAAAGTATCCAGGCTTCACTTGTCACCCTTGGACGTGTGAGCAAAACAGAGCAAACCTAACTCTACCTACATACAATTGTCCTTGTAGGAACAGGAGGAGGTATATAAGTGGATATGCAAAAAAAAAAAAAAAAGTGTTGCCTTCAGACCTCCTTTTTACTAAGGTGATTCTCAGCATCGAAAATCATCTTGTGACATGCAGTAATGAGCTCTACATACTCTTTTCCACATTCTTGTCCTCATTGTGCATGCATCTTATAGCCTGTACACACAAAATTGTAATGAATTATAAAAGGGACAGCAATAGTTCTAAGACATGATGGTTTCTCATTTTAATGGCTAGTCCAGGGATTGTTCCAATCACTATGAACTCCCTTAATAACACTACTTATCATAGGAGCTAAATCTAATTTAATAATTTGAATTTCCTGTAATGTAAAATTTTAGACTCATTTAAATTTGATCTAATTTGTGTATTCCTCACCTCCCCCCAGGCAGCAGGTGGAGGCTCCACAGGAGGGTAATATTTGGGGACATCCCAAGCCACTGCAGCCATGAACCACTTGAAATCTTTACATTTAAGGTGCTTGCGAAGTTCCTTCTGGGCAGAGATATCACCAGTTGAGAGATGTCTGTACTCAGGCCGTCGCTGGTAAATGTACTCTGCAAACTCATCCATCCATGTCTCTGCCACGCGCTTCAGGTTCTGTGCAGCAGAAAAAAGCAATCATTAATTTCTTCATGCTTTGAGTGAATGATATTTCTAATGGGGAGAATTAAACAAAAAAAATATTCAGCGGTCCTCACAACTTCTAAGCTTAGCTGGTCTAATTTCTCAGTCTTAAAACATGGAAAAATACCGGTAAACCTATGCTATCTACACAGTGTTGAGTTAACACTATAGAGTATTAAGGAC